AGCTGAAGTTAGGAGCAGGGACGCGACACTGCACAGGTGCTGGCGATCAGCCCTGGGCAGTACACCTGGTGCCGCCAGCTGGCCGCCCGTGCTGGAGGTAAGAGCAGGGTGCGACGGTGCTGAGGGATGAATCAATCGGCTGAAGGGACCGGAGTTATGAAGACATTGCCACCTACACGCGCAGTGTTATTGGAGCCGGATGTGCCATTTGCATGGCTAAAATGTCGCACACTTGACAACTTTCAGATATTGGAAAAAGCAATCGAGATATCTGTAGTAATTGCTGATTGGCCATTCGGCGGTGCTCGGTTCGGCGCGCCGGCCGCGCTGCGCCAAGTCCAACAATTGTGTGGAGCTATTGTCATGCGTTAACATAAATATCACGTCTCCTTTTCTGCAAAACACGGAATGTGCACGCAAAACGTACATCAACAGCCAAGTTCCAGTTATCCGCCAGTTGGTTATAGCCAACGCGACCAAACCAACGAACCAAACGCGACCAAATCGACAGTGCTGGATGGATTCGGGACCGAGATGTTCTGCTTAGCTGCGCGGTCATGGGACGTTCCACAGCTACACCACAGCCCGCCACCTCTCCGAAATACACAGGATGATCAACGAGGTGGTGTTCACCTCGCGCCGCACGCGCGGTGAATCGGACGGAGCCCGCCCCGCCTTATCTTGTTTCTGTCTCATAGTATTCAATGATGGTTTTAAAAAAACTGTTCGGTCCTCCGTAGCTGGAAAATAGTGGCTTCATAATAGCTCACTGCGTTTAACGGTGAACGTCTATCCTCAGATTATTCAGCAAGGTGCCTTGTCTGGCACGGAGGAACAGTTTGTGGAGATGTCGACAGATAGAAGGGTTAGTAGATTTACTAGACCAGATTTAGTAGATTTTCCAGTAATGGGACATCTGCATTGGATCCATGCCGAGGTCTGAATACACGGTTTTTTTTTAACCCTTCCATCTGTTGACATTTTTGCAAACTGTTCCTCCGTAACAGAACAAGGTACCATGCTGTATAATCTGAGGATGCACGCTCACCGTTAAATGCAGCGCGCTATTATGAAAGGGATCAAGACCACCAAAACAATGATATTTTGACTATGTCGGGGAATCTGTGGCATCCCATTCTGATGCATGCATTATCTGTATTTTGGCCAGATTTTTACTCTGGTTTTAACGTTGGCCTGCGAGTAATAGGTGGCATATAGCGCTCCATGGCATGGAAGCATTACCACAAGTGCCCAGATGGTAAGGTTTCCGTTGTTAACCATCGTTGGAGCCGGCAACATGCGGTTTGAAATGGCGCTTAGCTTTACTTGAATGGACCCAAAAGCAGAGATCCGAACACGTTAGCAGAACTCTCGCAGCCTCATCGAAGCCCAATCCAATTCAGTGTTTCTAATTACATGCTCCCAAATCTGGAGAAACCGTGCGGAGCTCTGAAATGAGAACCGTTAAGTACAACTAGTGCCAAATTGCTTCGAAAAAGGCCAGAGACGGCTCTTTCCCAAAACCGCAAGTGACTAGATTGTTCCCCACAATGAAACCGATCGTTCAGAGGTATTCTTAACCTCGTCAAGTTTATCAAAGTCGCAGCAAATCCAGCCATATTCAGTTGTCTGTCTGTTGCCTGCTCAAAGAGCGTGCTCGCTCACTAAGTAGGGACGGTGCTGGCCGCCAAAGTCCCAGCTCAGGCACGATTATGAATGCCAGGTAACTGCCTCTGCACTTGTGCCATGTGGCTCTTGTTGATGTATGGTCATTTTTCGTGGTCTACACCATCTAGTCGGTGGTAAACCAAACTCTGTTATATTATCAACACCTGCTGCAACCTGGTCAAAAACACTATTGCGGCTGCGTTAACCACCGCCGACTATGCAGGAAGTCATCTCAAATTAAGTACTGGGTTCTTCCGCATATCTTGAGAGGCATATTTACGTCTGTGTTATATTGGTGGGTCTCTAACAAAGAATGCAAGCCTTTCAATCACA